CCAAGATCACACAGTCAGTAAACCATTTCATCTCTGGAACTCAGTTTTTTTTATCTCACAAATGGAGAGTCTGGAGAACCAATTTCTTGGGTTTGTTGTTAGGCTCTGGTGAGATAATCTAATCTATAGTAAAGTGGTTTGCAAACCTTAAGGCATAATATGTGCCAGCTACCATATACTATAATTATTTCATTTTCTATTTTCATCCTATCATATTATTTTTTATTTCATAGGGAGTGCCTGGGAAGGAACTTTCTTTATCAAGGAAGTTTATATAGTATTAGACTATTGCCTGGGGGCACATTAGTGACTTTTCCAGGCCATATATGGCAGAGGTAAGACTTGAAGGGTTTTCCTGATACCAAGACCTACTCTCTATGCACTAGGACAAACTGCTAACACCATTATTACTAATGACATTTGTTGAGCAATTGCATTAATAGGGACTTGATTCCAGATAATAATGTCATTTCTACTTATACTTTCCTCTCCCCCTACCCCAACTCTTTTCTTTTTTTCAAGCAAAATAATATGATAATCATTCAAAGGAATTCCTTATTTTTAAAAATAATTCTACTTCCCCCCCAGTTACACGTAAAGACAATTTTTAACATTCACTTAAAAAATTGTGAATTCCAAATTTTCTCTCTGCCTTGCCTCTCCCCTCCCTGAGACAGTAAGCAATTTGTTATAGGTTATATAAGTTCAATCATGCAAAACATGTTACCATATTAATCATGTTGTGAAAGAAGACACAGACCCAAAGGGGGGGGGAAACATGAAAAAAATAGAGAAAGTGAAAAATAATGTGCTTTGATCTGTATTCAAGACTCCATCAGTTCTTTCTCTGGAGGTGGATAGCATTTTTCACCATGAGTCCTTTGGAATTGTCTTGAATCATTGTATTGCTGAGAAGAGCTAAATCATTCACAGTTGATCATTGTACAGTATTGCTGTTACTGTTTGCAATATTCTCCCGTTTCTTGGTTCCATAAACAAAAACCAAAACTCCACAAATGAGGAACTGACCTCCATTTATAGCTTGTTCTAGTAGAAACCCTTAAAGTAAAAGTAAAAAAAAAAATTCCTGAAGTCTTACTGAATCCTTATTTAACATCATTTAAGTCCTTTTTTTTTTTTTTACAGTCATTCAATGCCCATTTCTTAAATACCTACTGTATACAAAACCACCATGCCTTTGCCCAGGCTGCCTCCCTTCCCTCACTATACCTGTAATTCATTCAATAAAAAAACTTTTATGAAATGCCTACTATGTGCAAGGTATTCCCTTCTCACTTCTGCCTCTTAAAATCTTTACCTTTTTTTCCCCAAGGTTTAACTCCAGTGCCACTTCTTTTCCTCATCCACCTGATTGTTTGTGCTTCCTCACTCATCAGATCATTTTATATTTACTTCTCTATTTTAATGTTGTATCCTTAACGGCAAGGGCTGTTTTTTAATTTTGTCCTTATATCTCCAGTATGCCTTGAAACATAGTAGGAGCCCATGAATGTTTCTTGAATTGAAGTGGTGGCTACTTGGGGAAGTTCAAAGATAATAACATTTCCCTATATTCATAGTCCTTACAATCTAGTAGTCAGTTAATAAACATTTTTAAGCACCTACTATGTACCAGGCACTGTGCTAAGGAATACAAAGACAGGTAGATGACAATCCCTGCTCTCAAGGAGCTAATAGACAACATGCAAAACAACTATGTACAAATAAGCTATGAACAAGATAAATTGGAGATAATCAACAGTGGGAAGGCTTTAACACATAAAGAAATATATTATGTAAAATAACTATAATGCTAGTATAGAGAGAGGTTGCCTAGTGTAGTGGTTAAAGGGCTGGCCTTGGAGTCAGAAAGACCTGGGTTCAATTCCTGCTTCTGATAGCTGAATAATCATGGACAAGTCACTTACCCTCTCTGTAACTATAGATTACAGCCAAGTTATTGGTTTTCATTGTGGAGGCTATTTCCACACTGGGAATTCCTTATGCTAATGAACTCAATGGTCTGCCTCTTCCCCGTCAGCAATTATGATAAAAACATCAGAGAGGTCCAAAGTATGAAAAAAGTCTCGGGAGGGAGAAAAGATCCTTTTGACTTGGTATGGTTCTACATTTAGTGGGGAGTAGTTTGGAAAAGTAGGAGAGTACCTGGTTATAGGTATCTTGAATAGCAGGCTAAGAAGTTTGGATTTCATATCATAGTAATGAGATTTTAAGCCATTCCTTAGCATTCCCTTTTTCATGGAAACATTTAACCTCTTATTCAAATTACTTTTTTTCCCCTTAGAACACTTCTGTCCTCCTTAAAGTCCTTTCCAGTTTTTCTAAATAATAGATTTAAACAAATTCAGAGACACAGGCTGGAATTTTTGTTGTTGTTCAGTCGTGTCTGATTCTTTGTGACCTCGTGGACCAAAACACACCAGGTCTCTCTATCCTCCACTATCTCTTGAAGTCTGTCCAAGTTCATGTTCGTTGTTTCCATGACACTATCCATCCATCCTGTCTTCTGCTGTCCCCTTTTCTTTTTGCCTTCAATCTTTCCCAACATCAGAATTTTTTCCAGTGAGTCCCATTTTCTCATTATGTGACCAAAGTATTTAAGCTTCAATATTTAACCTTCCAGTGAATAGCCTGAATTAATTTCTTTAAATATTGACTGATTTGATCTCCTTGCTGTCCAAAGGACTCTCACAAGTCTTCTCCAGCACCACAATTCGAAAGCTTCTATTCTGTAGCACTCAGCTTTACTCATAGTCCAACTTTTATAGCCATACATGGCTACTGGAAAAGACATAGCTTTGACTCTACAGCCCTTTGTCAGTAAGGCGATGCCTCTACTTTTTAGTATTCTGTCCAGATGGACACAAACCTTCAAAATGAGGCTAGCTAATGCCAAGGACAGCAACAGACTTAGCATCTCAGAATATGAGTCATACTCTTGACAACTAATGAAAACATTAAGCTTGTTTTTAAAGTAATAGTAGAGAATTGCATATTAGTATTCCTACTGTGATCTACTGTCTCTCTAGAGCCTTTTCTGTCCTTTTGAAAGTTGCTTTTGATAAATTAGAAATTCTAGAAATGTTGGCGCATCCTTTATCTTTTTTTTGCAAAGATGAAATATGTTACCTAGAATACTTGAAGGTCAAGAAATTGCTCAATTGCCTTGGGTGTTTATTTTCAAAGTATCCAGAATCAGTGTTGTCACGTTCATGTACATGTTAAAAAAAAAAAAAAAAGAATGTCTTTCATATTCATGTGCCAAAAAGGTCTGTGAGTAGATGAATAGGGGGCCTTTTTATACATGTTTATTGGGTAAAAAGTGATAGGTTTTGAGGTTTATAACCAAAGTAATATTTATCAAATGAGAAAATATTTGTAAAGCAATTTGTAAAGTGCTATTGTAATGTTAGTTATTATTGTTATTATCAAGTCAGAAATGATCCTGGTTTGTAAACTCACCATTGAAGCACTTTCATGATTAAAATTGTATATGTGATTTTCAGGTAAGTTTAAATATATGTGCTAATACTACAATGGGATTTTTTGGAGTTGTATGTACCTAGATATTTAGTATCTGATCGATTAGTGCCAAAGGAAATTTATAGAAAAAAAGAAATTAGAGGAGGAATGTCTGACTACTTACACCATTGGGATATGATGATTTGATTCAATTCACTTCAAGATATATTTGTTGAGAACCTGCTATATGTAAGGTGAAATACAGTGTGGCATAGTAGACAATATAGATTAATGGCCTTGAAGTCAAGAGGAACTGGGTTTAAATTCTGCCGCTGACACATACTGCCTGTGACAACATTCTAACATTACAAGTTATAAATTGCTGATCAGTAGCAGGGGAAGGAATTTCCATATCAGGAGTGCCCCCATACAGGTGAAATCATAGGATTGGAGTCAAAAGATAGTGGAAGTCACGTGAAGTATACAAAAAACCCAACATGGTATGGTCCCTGCTTGATATATGAGGGGATCACAGATCTAGCTAGAGCTGAAGGAAAACTGAGGCCAAGGGAAATCAAGAGGCTTGCCCAAGATTCCATATGTAACTGGAAAAGTATCAGAGGTGAGATTGGAACCCAGATCCCCTAACTCCAGAACTGGTACTCTTTTCCCGGTACCATTTTCATTGGGCTTATTTTCTAGCATCCAGCATAATACTTGACACAAAGCAGGTACTTGTTGATTGACTAAGACTCAAGTCCAAATCAGGCCTCAGACACTTACTAACTGTGGTACCCAGGGCAAGTCACTTAACCTCTGCCTGCCTCAGTTTCCTCATCTCTAAATGGGGATGATAATAATGGCACCTACCTCCCAGGGTAGGAATCAAATGAGATAATAATTGTAAAATGCTTTGCAAACTTTAAAGCACTGTATAAATACTAACGATTATTGTTATTAGTAGCAGGGGAGATAGGACTAACATGTATGGTATAATGTGAAAGCTCAGCAAAGTACAGAATGCTATGTTAGTATATTGGGGAGGATGTGTATGATTGAATAGATGCATATAATCTTGAGTGACTAGAATTAATTCATTTAAATGGTTAGTCTACAGAATAGGGATTTTTAACCTTTTTTGAGTTTTGGACCCCTTTGACAGTCTGGTGAAGTCTAGAGAGCCTCTTTTTAGAATAATGTTTTTAAATTCATAAAAGGCACAGATTTATAAAGGAAGCTAATTATAATGAAATGCAGTTATCAAAATATATTTAAAATTTATATTATAAAATTATAAATATATAAAACATGTAAATATATAACCAGAAATATATTATAAAATTATAACATAATCATTTAATTACATATTACAAACATATATAGATTTAAAATTTATTTAACATTATTAAAATATATTTTGAAAAAGAAGGTCGTAGGCCCTAGGTTAAAAACCTATGGTCTAGAAACCATTCTGCAGGTGGAGATCACATTTATGTGTCCATTTGTCTTGATAACAGATATTGGTGAACTGAAGGCAACTCTTCGAGAGCTGACATATGGCATCGCTCTCCAGTCTGCAAAGTTGCTTCGTCACCTGAAGCAAAAAGATCGGCTTCAGCACAAAGTGCAGCAGAACTGTGACATCGTGACGGCATGCTTACAAGCTGCGTCCCAGAAGAGAAGTAAGTACTGCTGAGTCCCTCCAACATCTCCTGCTGACCACCCTTGGGAGAATTTGATACCATGATGATTGGGGCCAGGGTTTTCCAGGGAAGCTTGTCACTTGAGAAATCAGACTTTTGAATATCAGTATTGTCACGTTCTATTTGTGATACATATTAATCATGTTTCCATTCATAGCATTTAAAATATTTAATCTGTTTCATTGCATTGATTAAAATGACTAACAGAGAAGCAACATGATGTAGTAGGTAGAGGGTTAAACTTGGAGTCTGGAAGACCTGGGTTTGAATCCCACCCCAGGCTCTTATTAGTTGAGTGATTCCCCCCCCCCCCCAACAAATTTCTTATACTCTCTCAGCCTCAGTTTCCTCATCAATGAAATGAGGAGGGTAAACTTGTAGCACTTCCTTCATGGGGTTGTGAGAATCAAGTGAGATAATATTATGTAAAACGCATTGCAAGCCTTACATTACTTACAGATATAGAAAATGAGGTCCAAGGAGTCTAGATGCCTTGCCCAAGGTTACATAGGTATTATATATTTATATTACTTTACATTACATACATACATTATGTTACATAATTACAAGTGTTACATATGTAATAAATATAACCCCACAACCATCATTATCACTGTTATCCAGCTGCACCCCATTCTCCCAGGAAGAAGGAAAGTTTATTTTCAGTGTCTAAGTCTTGTTTCTCTTATTCTGGGTATTGACACAATATTCTTTAATATTATGTTGTCCCTCACAATGCCAAACCTTGACTAGAATTTTCATTTTCTGCTCAATGTTTTTGCACCAGGTAGAAACAACCTTAATGTCTAGTAGCAGTGACGAACTTTCCCCCTTATTTCTTGGTTGCTATGCCAAATAGTTAAGCACTTGACATTTTAAAAAGAGTTTATTCTGAAATAATTGTTTTGAAATTCTGACCAAATAAAATAATGTTTGTAAAGTGCTTAGCATAAGGCTTTGCACATAGGAGGCACATATCAAGGCTTATTACCTTCTTTCCCCATTATTCTGTTCCTTGCCCCCTAAAACTAAAAGGGGAGAGAATTATTTTTCTCTATAAAGTGAAGTTTTGTCTTAGACCTTCTTGTATTTAGGTTTTTGTTGTTGTTGTTGAAGGAGGGACCAGAGGCACAGTTTCATTGCTATGAGGAGCTCAAGATCAGGACATTCGTTTTACTTATGCAGCTGGGCATCTACTCTGCACATTAGAAATGTCTAGAGGCACTGACAGGCTGAGAGATTTGGTCACAGTCATGCAGCTGGTATGGGTCAGAGTCAGGACTTGAACCTTGTTCTTACCAACTCTGAGGTCAGTTTTCCACTATGTCATGCTGCCTCTCTGTGTGTATAGGTAAACAAGTTATAAATGAACTGTTGGATTATGCTAATGCTTTAGTTATTAGTGATGTGGTTAAAGTCAGAAATAAAAGCTTACTGTACATGAATTTTATGATTCTCCTAGGAATAGCTTCATATATTTTCTATGACTAACATTTCCTTGTTTTTGTTTTGTATTTTGTATTAACATGCAGCATGGCCGAACATTATGTTCAGGTATGATTATACTGATTACATGTATGATCAGTATATTTTAATTAAAATGCTTTAGGCAGCTTTCAAGAGGTTATGAAAGTGAGCATTTTATTTCTTTCAAAAAAATTGGATCCATTTGACATGTTACCTGCTCTTACTTTCCACTTAAGGGTTTTTTTTCAATGAAAGTCAATTTTGGGGGGTTTGGCAAGTTTCAGACAGTGAAAGCTGATGGCTCAGATTCCATTTTTATTCTCAGTCTTCCTCCAAGTTTATTTTCTTTCTTATCTTGCCCCAGATTTTGATAACTCAGCACCATAGACACCTGCTGCTGGATAAGATACCCATAGACTTAGAGTTGGAAGTGGTTGTTTTGTCCAACTTCCTCATTTTACAGATGAGAGAAACTGAGGTCCAGAGAGGTTAAGTGAATTGTCTCATGACATGCAAGGAATAAATGGCAGAGCTGGGATTTCAACCCCAGGTCCTCTGACTCCCACCCCAGTACTCTTTCCACTGTACCCTCCTGTATCCCTCCATTGAAAACAAATTGCTGAGGGCCACAAAGAGATAAGAATCTTTACTATGTGGGAACTTTAGTAATTTTAGAGTTAATATTTTACTCTTTTCTCCTTAGTATTGTCATCTCTTATTTCTTATTTATCTTATTCTTATTTATCTCAGTCTTTAGTTTAGTTTACCTATATCAAAGTTTCCAGTGGAAAGTAGAGGATACATAGAGCAAGAGAAAAAGCATATGGAGGGTTGAGGGATGGGAATGGAGCTGAGAGAGAGAGAGGGAGAATGCTAGGAAAGGAATTACTAACTAGAGAATGTTTTTAGTCGCTACCAAGCATACTTAGGGGAGTTCACAACGCATCCAGATTTACTGATAATGGAATTTCTAGTCATTTAGCTGAAAAACACAGAAGTCCATACTCTATGTGGTCAAGTACCAAAGTTAATTTTGCAATTAATCTTCTTATCATATTTCATTTTTAATTTGTAGGCATAATTTTGTAGGAAAACTTCAATTAGTCAGAATGTTCTGGGTGTTCTAAATGATGTTCCCTTTCCTGCCTTCATAATGAGACTATACTATTTATAATTAAGTATCTCTTTGAAGACTTACAATTTGGCATTGCCTTAGGGTTATAATTCTAACATGAATTCACATTGTGTAGTGTCCTAGATGTAGAAAATGCTGGAAATTTGGCAAAGTGTGTAACAATTGGAGGAGGCCACAATGAGGCCACTGCTGGGGAGGAAAGGCTTGTAGGACAGATCTTGGCTAAGGGAGAGCTCAATTGAAGTTTAACTATGTGTATAGGGGGAGGAAGCATACAATTTGGTGCCTTCTAATTTTAAATAATTATTCTTATTAACTAACAATTCATTTACCGTGGTGAAAAAGTACAAGTATTATCAGAAACCTCTAAATTTTATGTCCCAGGACAAAGCTCCAGTTGCTAGTTCTTACATAGTTCTGTTCAGGCCTTACGGAAGATTTTTTTTTTCTGTTCAAAACTAGAACAAAAACAATACAATCTTTGCTTTTATTTTATTAAAAGATATATGATATATTAAAATATGTAATTTATTTTTAATATTAAGAACATAAGTATAGCTTATGTGCTAAAAATCAATATATTATCTTATTTCAACTACATTTGATATAATTGTTTACCTCTTATAGTTGGATCAAACCTCTCAGTTCATTACAGTAGGACCCTACTATACAAGTATACATTATAGTTGGACCCTACCATATGGTGGCATGGGTGGTGTGTGTAGGGAGTGGGAAGATGAGGTGAGGGAATGGAAGTTGGAGAAGAGAATGGGGGGGGCAGTAAGATCAATTCCTATTGATTGATTCCTCCCTAGGCTAACTTTTTTTTTTTAACTTGATAAATTTGTTTGACCAAAGCAGACAAATAGAAACAGAAAAATCACAAATTAGATTCCTCGAAAAGTTATGCAAAACAGTGCCCAAAAATGATTCCATGGATGGTTCATGCAACTGTAGACTTTTGTACTGTTTGTCATTTACTGATTGTTCAGAGAAGAGGTTGTGTGTCTTAAATTTATCACGATGGTATGGACACAAACCATCGTATTGAAATTGAGTTTTTTGTTGTTTAATGTTGTCTTTATGTACGTGGATGTATTCAGTGTGTATCTTCTCTTGCTTCTGTTTTCTTCGTTCTAAAAGCACTTCACACAGCTCTTCTTATTTCTTTGAATTTATCATATTTGTCATTCCTTATAATAATCATATTGTTCAGTCATTTCAGTCATGTCCGACTCTTTGTGCCCCACTTGGGGTTTTCTTGGCAAGGATACTGGAGTGTGTTGTCATTTCCTTCTCCAGTCCATTTCACAGATGAGGAAACTGAGGTAAACAGGGTTAAGTAACTTGCCCAGGGTCACACAGCTGGTAAGTGTCTGATGCCAGATTTGAACTCATGAAGATGAGTCTTCCTGACTCCAGGCCCAGCACTCTATTTACTGTGCCACTTAGTTGCCTCTATAATAATCATAGGTAACATTTATATAGCATTTACTATGTGCTAGGCACTATGCTAAGCATTTACAATTATTATTTCATTTGAGCCTCACAATAACTTGGGAGGCAGGTATTATTATTATCCTCATTTTACAGACAAGGAAACTGAGGCAAACAGGTTATGTGACTTGCCCAGGGTTTGAATAAATAAGTTTCAGTCCATTAATTTATGACAGTTAACTATATTGTAATAGACTTTTTCTTTCTTTTAAAAATATATTTTGTTGATGACTTTTGTCCTTACGTTGCACTAATTCACCCTTCCCAATCCCTCTGTAACAAAGAAAAATAATTAAGCAAAAACATTTAATATAGTGGCCACCTCTGACAATATTCTCTCTTAGTAGTCCCTCACATCTGCTGTGAGTGGGTTTTCATTTACTCAACTGGTTCAATTTCCTTTTGGCGATCTTTTCTTTTTTTTTATTAATTAATTAATTAATTAATTAATTTTTAGTTTTCAACATTCACTTCCACAAGATTTTGAGTTCCAAATTTTCTCCCCATCTCTCTCCTCCCCCACCCCAAGAAGACATGCATTCTGAATACCCCTTCCCCTAATCTGCCCTCCCTTCTATTACCACACCACCCCCATCCCCTTCTCCTTCTATTTTCCTGTAGGGCAGGATAGATTTCTATACTCCATTTGGTGATCTTTTCATTGACATTGTTGTGAACATTGTATAAATTACTTCTTTGCTTATTTTAGTCTGTATTACTTCATATAACTCTTCCCATATTTCTCTGAATTCCTCATATTTGTAACTTCTTACTGGATAATCCCTTTAAATTCTTTTACCCTTTTTTTTAACCACTCCCCTTCTCCCCCCCCCATTTGTTATGTTTTTAGGGGCATGCTTTCATCCAGAATATAGCCAAA